TTTAGGGTTTAGGGGTTTAGTTTAGTTTTTTTTGTTTATGGGCCCTTTTCCATCTGCATACACAGTAGTCCTTACCAGGATGAGCCAGCTACTGGAGCCTCACTTGTACCAAAGTCAGAGTTAGCTATCCAGCCTAGAATCAGCAGCAGCCCCCCTGAGGCTCCAGCCGAATGTTCTCCACTGAGCAATATAGGCTAGCCGACCGGCATTTCGACTCAAAGAACAACATTTACATAAACCAATGTCGAACAAACCTTGTTCCAATGCCATGTCTGTTGCCATCAGTCTTCACGGTTCTTGTACAAGTGACTGACAAGACTGCTCAGTGTACTGGGAACAATGTGGGCTATTGGACTCGGCAATCCACATCAAGAACTAAAGATGGTATAAGCATCCTACCAGAAAGCGCCGAGACCGTCGCCAAGGCCTATGTCAACTACTATGGTCAACATTTTACAGAGCGACTGTTTGTATCGCGGAACAGACGACACGCCACGGGACTTTCAGGACGGCTCCACTCCAAATAGATTGGTATGGCCTGTACAGCAAGGTCAGTTCGTAAGCCTGCGGGCCCAGGTTAGCAACAACAGGAGCTAAAGGCAGGGGTTTAGGGTTTAGGATTTTTCGGCTCCAATAAGCCTCCCAGTCTATCTATGACCTTTTTTTGGCTCCAGCTTCTGCAAACTCCCCAAAAAGATTCACAGTAGGGCCTTAAGACCGCAGCCGCTTGCGTGAGGTTAGGGCCTGCTGTCATGTTTCAATGCCCCTGAGAGACCCTGGGCCTGCTGCCTCCCTACAGACCCTTCCTGGGGCCAAGGGCTGTTGCTTTGTGGTCTTTGGGGGCGAGGGTCTAGGGTTTAGCCGTGGCGCTTGGATTGACAAACATTTCCCCAATCCGAAACCATACCCAAAGTACGATCTTCCTAGGCCTGAAACATCATGATTCCTAAAAAGGAAGCTAACTCAAGTCCACGCCTAACCGTCGATGGAGCTTGGTAGTGCAAGTCCTCCCAAAGATGGGACTTTGGCCCATTGGCGTCTGAGGGGAGGCTCTGACTGCAGGGCTTTAGGCTTCGTGGTTCACGGTCTGGGGTAAGCCTTTAGCACCAAAAAGCAAGCCTAAACCCTAAACCTTTCATGCAAACAGATAGGGCTACTAGAAAAGGATACCCCTAATGATTACTGAGAACCTCACGTTGGGGGTTCCGGGCTTCAGAGAATGGTTTTGGGGCATCGGGAGACACAGATCATCAACTTAGCAGCAACTCAAGGAGTTGGAGATCTTGTTCGCCTCTCGTCCAAACCTGCCTTCACGACATTACCTGCAGTCCCCATTGTAGTTCCTTTTTGGGGTTTCCTTACAGGATCCGAATTAATGGAGACTATGGGTAAGCTTCACTTTCTGGCTGTGTGATTGCTTCCTGCCCGTCTTGGCAGTGCAGACACACATCCTTTGACTCGACAACTTCAACCGCCAAACTCCGGATCCTGTTTATCCTTTGACCACGATTTCTACCTTCGAGCGCCAAAGCTAAATCCTGAAGCCGATAGCGGTGGCGGTTCGCCTTACAGGAATCCCCAAGCCAGCGATCTCTTCCCCGCGTCTCCGTAGTCCAAAAGGCAAAAACCTGTTCATCCGTGGCTAGAGCTTCATACCTGGCTGCCAGGCATGAAGCGTTTCCAAGAAAGCATGCTTCAATCTTCAGGGGACCGTTCGAAACACGCAAAGGCAGCATCCCTAATTGCCTCATTGTCTAGAGTATCTAGAGTTTACACCCCCCCCCCCCCCCCCCCCGCTTGCTCATATATGATACCTGGAAACCTGCACATTTACACTGCTTTAGACTTGCAAGTGTACCTGGTAATTATACATCCATGAACGTGATTCACAGCTACATCTAGCTACTATATGAACCAACCTCAGGACACATCTGATTCGTAAACGCGAAAACCCTGCGCAAGCCCTTATCTCTAGAGTCTCTGCAGCCAAACCCAGGTCTCGTCGACTCCTGCGTCTGCAACAGCAGGTACTTCCTTTTGAAGCCCTGGGAGGCGCGATGGCAAGTCGGCACTTGACTGGATCCCTGTTGGGGCCATATTCAACATGATCATTTCTAATCCCCATTACGTTTTTTAGTAAAAACTAAAATGATCATCTCTAACCCCTATTAGTGGAAAGACATTATGAGAAAAATGCTGAAAGTGTATCCAACAAGGACCCAGTTGAATTGTAGGGCTGAGAAGTAAGCATCGGGGGTTAAGAGTCTAGATGGTGCAGTTAGATGGTGCAGTAGGGTCTTGGGCTTACGGCTTTGAAACAGTCAAACAGTAGATCACGGCGAACAGCCGCGAATGCATGTCCCGCTAGCAGAATTCAGGTACGAGCCTTGCACGCAGCTGATAAGTGAACACGATGATTCAAGATTTGCGATTCAGGCATGTTCGTGTTCCATAACTTCCGATTCATGCAAGTATGTCCGGCCTATCTCAAACACCCTAGAATCTGAACCGTAAAGAGCCGTAAAGCCCGAATCCCCACAACTCTGCAGCCCAGAACTGGAAAAGAACGATCACCTCAACTGCTTCAGTGCACCAAGGTGTCTTTTCTGAAACCTTCAGCTCCGTGTGAGCTAAGGTTCAAGGAATCGAGGGTTTCGGGATCGAGTCTTATGTGGGATTTAAGACCTCCGGGGTTTGAGGTTTGAGCCTGCAGGGGGTTAAGATCCCAAGCGTTTAAGCTTTGGGGCAGCCAGGTCACATTCCACATGTCGGCGCGGTACACCGCATTGCCAGCAGCGAGGAGGAGGAGAACGCAAATCTGACAATGAGAGGGACCGGCGCAAAGATTAAGAGTTCAGATAGCGATTGAAGAAGCTTGGACTCTAAACCCTGAGCCCTAACCTGAACTCTTCAACCCTCCAAAGTCTCTCAATCGCACATCCGCAAAGCTCAATCACTGTGGTGCGGAAGTTTCCCTGGGATTCCTGAGGCGATCTGCACACCAGCAGGGCCTGGAACTTGGAGATGTAGCTGTTGAGGCTCAGCACATCCTGCCGAAAGGGAGGTTGTGCCAAGGATCCTTCCACATACTATAGGGGCCTTAAGACTGTAGAAGAAAGGACTTCGGGGATTTGTCATACTATGCTACCAATTCGGGACTAGAAGCGGATATCTATCTATCTATCTATCTATCTATCTATCTATCTATATATATATATATATAAACAATACCAAGACCAAACAACGCACACGAATAGCAAGTGCTTCTAAGCCGAAGGATGGTCTATACACGCTGTGACTCCACAGAAAACTGCGCGAAGTCCATCAACACCACGGCACCTAAACCCTAGAAGTTTAGGGTTATTTATAAGGTTTAAGGGTTCTAGAGACCTAAAACCCTGAACCCTGCGAACTGGCCGCCGAACAACTAGGAGTGTTTGTGGATGCAAGAGGTGCTGGACTGGCATAAGTGTTATCATTATCTTAGAACCCATGATTTGGCAATACAGTGTTTAGAAGAATGGGACCATGTACTGTAGTACAAGAACTACGCCAAGGATTCCGGCCTACACGGCGTACAAGGCTCTGCGACAAGTTGCTCTTGCTCGGCATCTGGTTGGACTGAACTCGCCGGAGGCGATGCTGTACAGCAGTCTGCACAAATTTCCGAAGCCAGGGGCTCACGTCGTTGTCTGAGGGCAAAATCTGTACACCAGACTACTAGACAGCTGAAATCTCGGGCCCAGTCGGCTGAGCCGAGCTTCAAGGCGCCCTCACGACTGCTCCTGGCCCGGCAGGGTAAGTCGATAAATAAAGGCTTGGGAGTGCTGAGAATTGGTGATGCCATCTTCAAGCAGACCCCATGCCACGAGACTAGTATCGGATCGCCTGGCGCAGAAGGCAGCTGAGTCGGCCCAGAGGTCTTCAACGCTAACAAGCTCTTCTGCAAGATCCTGGCTGTAGCCTCCACACCGAGCATCGCCCCAGGTGACGACCACACCGTCGGACCTCAAAGCCGCAAAGGCCTTCCTGGTCGCTGCAACCGACCTGACAGCTTCAAGCTGCGCTTGCACCGGTCCACTCTCACCCCCGTAGCCGGGATGCCCCCAGGTCACTACCCTACCGTCCGCAAGGATGGCAGCGAAAGCCCCGGCCGTCGAAACGATCTCCCGAACTCCTTGGAGCTGCTGGCTCACTTGGCTGCTGTTGCCGCCCCATGCCTCCTCTCCCCAAGTGATGACACTGCCATCCGAAAGCAATGCCGCAAAGGCGCCGTCGCAGGCGAAGAGGCGCGACACACCTCGTAGCTGTCTTTGGACCGCATGGCTGTCACCGCCTTGTTGTCGATTTCCCCAGGTAACCACTTGGCCGTCGGAGCGCAGCGCAGCGAAGGCCGACCGGGAGCCCTTGAGCTGCCTCACTCCCACCAGGCATCGTCGCACTGCCCAAGTGCTACCTCCAGAGTTCGGGGCACCCCAAGCGACCACGCTCCCATCATGTCGCAGGGCGGCGAAGGTCCTTTCGGAGGCCTCGACCTGGGTTACACCAAGAAGTTGCACCGCACTGCTATCCCCTCCAGCTGTCCTGCCACCCCAGGTGGTGACGGTGCCGTCGGTGTGCACCGCAGCGAATGCCTCCGAATTTGCGACCAGTCGTGCCACATCAAGGACTGGATGCTCCCTGGGCATCTCACCATTGTTGGCGGTAAACCAAGTCACCACACTGCCATCCCGCAGGAGTACTGCAAACCCAAACCTGGCAACTTCGACCCACTGCACCGGCTGCTGCTTCACCTTCTCTGGTATTGCTTCCCAACGCCATCTACCGCGGCCGAACTGAAGGCAGGTACCGTCCGGCATGACGGCCACAAAGCCGTGGCCTGTCTGGCTGGCGCACAAGCGACGGAAGCTCCTCATGCAAACAGCCTGCACGAAACACCCATCGTCCACGCCCTCTTGTATCAAGCTGCCGGTCTCGTTCAGCACCCTCCCTCTAGCGGACAAGACGGGCCAAAATCCAGTTGCATCCATCACTTCTTGCTCCAATCGCCAGACCTTGGCAGCAGCATCCACGGCTACCTCGACAGAACGACCGCTCAGCAGCACCACCTGCAGCCGGAGGAGGCCCGGAGGGGCGTCAGACCAAGCGGGAATCTCCATTCTCTTCATGAGACTTCGGAGTTTAGGGTTTAGGGTTATTAAAGCTCAAGCCAAAAAGGCTTATGGTCAAGGACTGAGGTGAAAGCTTGCCGCTGCCCCTCATAAGAACTGTCGGCCCGGCATCAAGACGAAAGTTAAGGTATATATGACTACCCCGAATATTCTCCAAGGAAAACCCTCCCACAAATCCGCAATATTCCTTAATATCAGTGCCTGCTACTGCCAGTGGACGACATGGACGCATTCGATTTGGCCCTGCCAAACTCCGAACCCTAACACCCAAGCCCCAATCCCTAAACCCAAAAGCCTTAAATCCCCAAACCTAAATCCCTGAGTCCCTACCCCCTAAGCTCTAGATCTGGGGCTCGGTCGTAGAAGAAGCACGGCGCCGCGACCAGCATCGGCTGGTACTTCCAGCCCTGGTGCAAACGAAGTTTAAGGGTCTCTTGGGTTTAGGGCTTAGGGTTCTATAGGGTTTGAGGGTCTTTGGTGTTTGGAGGTTCCGACTTCGGCTTCAGGCCTTCAGGGTTTTAGGGGGGGGCGAATCCTGCAGGGCTTGAAGATGTCATCTTCAGCGTCCAGGGCTCTGAGAGTACTGAAATATTCCTACACCGTGAGGACGTAAGAAGCATCCCTGGCAATCGGTGCCGTCTCGCAAGACTTGGAACATCTAACTTCGTCTTTCTATGGAAAGGACTAGCGTGGATTTGCATGGCTTGCAACTCTTCCCATAGGTAATGTAGGGGCCTTAAATAGTTAGAAGAGGGGTCGGGGGTGCATTGTACTATAATTCAAGCACGGAACACCCAGGAAAGGATTACGAGATGTTCAGGCTTCCATAGTAGCCAGTCTATGAATCCTAATATTTTGGGGCTACAGGACCAGGGTTTCTTAATCAGGTTGCTACAGTATACCCGACTATTTTCTACGATACCTATATCATACTATATTATATAAACCACCCTAAACCCTAAAACCTAAACTCTAAAACCTAAACCCTAAACCCCAAACCCTAAACCCTAGACCCTAAACCCTAAACTCTAGACCCTAAACCCCAAACCCAAACCCTAGACCCCAAAACTCTAAACCCCAAAATCTACCCCAAAAAACCTAACGGCCCCCACGGCTGGGGAGGCTCCCGGCCTGAATCGGGGATGCCCGGTCGTAGAGAGCACGCGCCCTTGGCCGGTCGGGGTTTTCCGGGTTCAGGAATGCGAAGTTCCCTCTTGAGCCTTACTAGATGTTATGGGTTTAGGGTTCAGGGGATTAGGGTTTAGGGTTTAAGGTTTAGGGTTATATTCTAGTATACCTATCATAGGATATACCATAATATACTATAATAGTATATGGTTCGCGGTTATTTGGGAAGCTTCGTGGGTGTAAGGCTTATCTTATCTTCCGGTGTGCTACGCATCCGCATCCACCAGGGCACTAGTGAACTATAAACTGCAACAGCATCCGTCTGGTCAGAAGATGAGTGAGTTCTTGAACGTGTTACGTCTGGGGACATGGCTGAGAATCGGGAGCTTTAGAGTATAGGGGTTTGGGCGTCCATTGGCATACCTGCATGATTGTAATGCAAGGGTGAGATAAAATGTTTATGAACCGGTATCTCGAAGATGACTGTAAGGAGAGTCAGCAAGCCTCCCAAGGCGGCATCTGCGTACAACTCTTCACAGTCTCCTCCTCCCCCGTCCCTGTCGGAACCCAAAGGCGCATGAACTGGCAGCCCGACAACCCCACAGCCAGTTGAGTCTGCCACTTGTGATCCTAAACCCCTGAAATTGAGCACCTAGGCCCCTAAAAAACAACCCAACAAAACAGCCCCTAAACCCCAACAGCCCGTCACCTCTGAGAAGCGCAGCCGTCTAGCCCAACGGAACTGCTCTTTGAGGTCCTGGCATGGCGACGGGCGTCACCAGCTTGGAGAGGCAGAAGACAGCCACCTTTTGGCAGGGTTTACAGCCAGAGAAGTTCAGGGCTTCCTGAAAGCCATCTACAAGGAAAGATCATATATAATGTAATTACTATAACCAGATGAGTAAATCTCTCTGTATGTGCATGTTATATACACATAGATAACATAAGCATAAAAAGAGAATGTAATATGATACACTGTAGTAGCCTTTGTGCGAGCCCTTGAGGGGAACAGGGTGTTACAATTCAAGGTTGTGCAGGGTTGTGGTGGACATTCAGCAATGCCTTGAAGCAAGTCACAACCCATATGCCCCAAACCAGAAACCTAACTAGTAACTAAAACATGTGAGCCAAAGGTGCGAATGCGGGACCGTACACCTGCAGGCTAGCAACAATCTGGACAGCCCTCAGCCCCAAACCCTAGATCCCAAACCCTATCAACCTTATGCTGCTTTTTAAATACTCGCAGCCTAAACCTAACCAAAAAAACTTAAGCGTACCGAAGGCCGAGGTCAAGACCAAGATCAGGGTCACAGTCAGGTCCAATCCGCCAGCCGACTCCTCAGTGATGATCAGCTTTGATGTTCTGGGTTTTAGGGTTTATAGTGTTTAGGGTTCAGGGTTCAGGGTTTAGGGTGTAGGGTTCAGGCTTTAGGGTTAAGGGTTTCTACGGTTTAGGGACACTTGGCCATTCTCATTCATGTTAGGGGGCTTTTCGGTCTTAGGGACACTTGGTCATGATCATGGTGGGGTCCAACGGGTCTGGAGGGGATCAGGGTTCAGCGAGGCAAAGAGACATTACAACTACGTAGCCCGGGTCTTAACCTCAAGGGGCTTCGGGTCTTATGGCTTCTGGTTGGAGGGTTTCAAGCACAGGAGCTTTTTGGTTTTATCCTTCGGGGTTTGAGGGGACGAAGCGCCCCCTGACACTGAATTCAGACCTGTGGAGGTCTGGTTTTGGTGCCCCTGTTGGCAGAGCCGATCTGGGCGCCGACCCAATGATGAAGTTGCGAAGCATGCTCTTCGGAGTTGGGGTCAAGTCTTTCTGATGCCTAAGATGGACCCCAAAAGTAGGTTTTGGGCCGTTATTTGGCCTGCTTTGGGGGGGCTTGAGTAAGATGGTTGAGGCTGCCAAAACCAACCCACGATGATTGGAATGCCATAAGACTCTACGGTAGGGTAGGAGTCAGAAGAAGTAGTCATAGAGCACCAAAACCCAATTCCAAGTCGCGAGGGCCCCTATACCCTAAACCCTTGTCGAACCGCTTTGACATCCTGATTCTTGAGGATTCGGGGTTTAGGGTATAGGGTTGGGGGTCCTGATTCTTGAGGATTTGTGGTTCAGGGTCGAGGGTTTGGGAGGGTCGAGGGTTTGGGGTTTAGGGCTTAGGGTTTGGGGTTTAGGGTTTGTGGTTCAGGGTCTAGGGTTTGGGGTTTGGGGCTTAGGGCTGTCGAGCAGCCACAACTTCCTGAGGATCTCCAGAGACTTGCACCTCGGCTTTCGGCCAGGGGCTAAGGCTCGGGGTACCTTTGAAAGCTCAAGACTTACCAAGAGTATTCCTTCGGGTGCCTGTCTGTGGTGACACTTGAAGGTAACCCAAAACCCGATTTATTCAGACCCCCATATTACCTTTCTAGGGGTTCGAACACGGATTGTCCGACTACATCAGCTCTCCATCTACCTCTTGCAGGGGTTCTTTGTATCAAGAGTTCCAACATCTAAGCTCTATGTTTACCTTCTCTAGGGTTTCTTATGGTGGCTATCCTACTATGTGGGCGGTCTTCATCTTTAGCTGCTCCGGGGTTCTGCTCGAATTTATCAAGCTGCCTTGTTTAGTGGTTCTTGTAACAAGGATCCCAGTATTTAGGCTCTGCAGTCTGCAGTCTTTGGACATTGGGGGTCAGTGCTTGTCTGGCTTATGTGACGAGGAACCCACTCTTCAAGCTCGCATGCGTAACCAACCAGGCTCTGAAGAATTGGTACATTGGTAGTGCAGTCCAATAAAAGTACCTGCATACCACCCGAAACCCCGGTGATTCTCAAGACCTTCAAGACCCCCCACCCCCACCCCGGAAAGGTCTCGGCAACACTGCAGTGCGGAAGGTGTTCCAACCCACCTCCTCTTGAACTCAGATTTTCGAGTTTACAGCTGAACACAAGGACTTTCAGAATTCAATGACTGCTGCTGTTAAGTGCAGTGGTAGGGCTTTGTAAGTTACAATTATAGGTATACAGGCATGGAGCACTAAGATTAGGGGGGGTGGTTGTAGTATCAACTCAGGGTTTCGGCATTCAGGGCTTGGGATCCAGCGGCTGAAGCTTAGACTTCGCAGCCCCCGGAGGTTTACGGATCTGCGTTCGGCGCGGTGCGTAGGACTTCTAGCTCGGAGCTCTCGTCCTGGGTCTCGGAGTCTCACAGAGCACATAAACTTGCCTCTAAGCCTGAAGTCCTAACTCCAGATCACACCCCCTAAAGCCTTAACCTCGAACCCTTACCCCCCGCCGACAACCCCTGAAACCTCAAACCCTCACCCCTCCACAATCCACTTGATCCAATAATGTGGTTCAGCCCTCTCATCCGGAATCCAAGACGTCCAAGTCAACCTTGTGCGAGTGAAATGGGAGTTGAGCCAGGAAACGAGCTAGTACAGCTGTCATCATCACCAAAAGCATGAAGTTCAAAACCATACGGAAAAGCCTCCTAAGCCCTAAACCCTAAAACCCCAAATCCCTAAACTCTGTATAATAAACCCTAAATCCTAAACCCTAAACCCTAAATTCCTAAACCCCTAAAACCCTAAACCCCTAAACCCTAAACCCTATAAACCCTAACCTGAAGCAAAGGGAATCAACGTGGGGGAGATCTGAGCTTCCGAGCCGTGGCGGCGCCCTCGGCAGCGGAGGCGGCTGCTGCGTCCAGGGACATACCCAGAGCCTCGCTGAGTGCTTTTAGGGTTTAGGGGTTTAGGGGTTTAGGGTTTAGGGTGGGTTTTAGGGCTTAGAGTTTAAGGCTTAGAGGGGCTAGGGCTTGAGGGTTTCGGGTTTAGGGGATTCAGTGGGAGCAATCATGAATCATCGACCGCCAGGTTTG